CCAAAAAAAAAAAAAAAAAAAACCCAAAACAAACAAACAAACAAAAACACAAGCTTGAAAAATCAGGTGGCTATTAATGCCCTAATTTCTTGTGTCACTTATGTGATTCTAATAGCAGTTCCAAATGTTTTGCAATGTATCGTTCCTTTTGTAATACTCTCTATGTATTAACTGAGCTCCCACTATGTGCTTTACTACTATATTCTCTGTTGGTTTCCGCAGTGTATTTTGAGAGTGTGTCAGGGAATAAGATACAGAAACTTTAGTCTCAACCGAAAGGTTCCTTGGCGAGTCAGGAAAAAACAGGTTTTAATAACTTCCAGTTGGGGCCTATAACGAACAGACAGAACACTCTCATGGCATGGTAGAAGGAGGAAGTGAAAGAAAAATCAGTTGTCAGCCCCTGATCCATACACCTGTCCGAACAACTCCTCTCACTCTCCTTTGAGTGTGTCTTGCTGTTTGAGTCTCTCTCGCTCTCTCTCGCTCCAGCTCCATTTGGGCTTGACATCCTGCTCTGCATCTTTAACTTTGTCCACCAGCTTTCCCGACCCGACGAACATGAAACAAAATTAGCCAACCCGTAATATTTAGGATGTGTGTAAATACAAGAATACACAATTTATTGCATAGCAACATTTACCTTTGTCCTCAGTTTATTGCTGGCTATCTTGAGACCATCAGTTTTGAGTGGGCAGACCACACCCTTAATCTGAATCTTCCCTGGAGTTAATTTTAGTAGGTCTTTTGTTGCTCACAGGTTTGTTCAATCTTATTTCAAAGCCTGAGACTTCATGGGACATCTACAAGATCTAAGGTGGCTTTATAGCTCATGGTCAAAAAATCTTGTATCTTCCTATTTTTTAGAATGGTTTTTAAAGATTCTGATTCAGAGCTTGTAGGACAAACTGAATAACCAAGTGTAAAAGTATAATTTTCAAAACATGACTCTCATACAAGTACTGTGTATAGTGAGCTTGTGTATGGGTCAGAGAATGATTTCAGTATTAATGACGGAGCAAGCAGAATGACAAAGTTAGGTCAAAGCAGGATACAGGAGAATGAACTATGTATTCAGTCAGGGCAAGAAAGAATGCTGGAAGGCTGAAAAATCAGATACAAAATTGTTTAATGTCCTATTAGGCAATACAATCATAACCTTTAGCGTTATCTTTTGTACTAGAAAGAATTCACTTGCATCTCTACTGAACAAAACCTTTATTAATGTATCAGTCTTCTACAAGTAAACGTATAATTTTGCATACTCTGAGCCCAATCGAAAAGGAAATATTAAGTCATACTGGACAGCGTGCTGTCCAGTATGACAGCTATTAGTTACATGTGGTCATTGAGCACTTGTAATGTGGCTAGTCTGAAATTTTACAACTGTAAAATACACACCAGACTTTGAAGACTTACCATATGAAAAAAAGAATAGAAACTGTCTTATATATATATATTTTTTGCGGTACGTGGGCCTCTCACTGTTGTGGCCTCTCCCGTTGTGGAGCACAGGCTCCAGACGTGCAGGCTCAGCGGCCATGGCTCACGGGCCCAGCCGCTCTACGGCATGTGGGATCCTCCTGGGCCGGGGCACGAACCCATGTCCCCCGCATCAGCAGGCAGACTCTCAACCACCGCGCCACCAGGGAAGCCCATGTCTTATATTTTTAAATATCGATTACATGTTGAAGTGATAGTAGTTTGGATATACTGAGTTAAGTAAAATATATTATTAAAATTAGATTAACCTATTTCTTCTTATTTTTTCATTGTGACTACTAGAAAGCTTAAAATTACGTGTATGACTCACATTCTATTTTACTGTATAGCATGGCCTTAGAGCATTAGATGAACCACAAGTGGACTTGTGGAGAATTCTCTACTACAGCTTGAAAAGACATGAAGAAATATCTTTGCTTTGTTTTTGACTTTTCTCAACACAAGTTACAGGGATCTAGAGAAGGGCTACTTGTTTGTCTGCCTTCTGGCCTCTATTATGTGTCCAGGAGGTTGAGAGCAAGAATTTGAGTGGCTGGTGTCTGGTTCTGGACTTCAGATTTGCATATGGAGAGATGTGATTTGAGTGATTTAAACTGAGTGGTCATATTAGAAAACTGAATTACAGTAATCAAATTTACATGCTGCTTATTTGCAAAAAGGGACACCAATTTTTTTTGTTTGTTTGTTTGCAGTACATGGGCCTCTCACTGCTGTGGCCTCTACCATTGCGGAGCACAGGCTCCAGATGCGCAGGCTCAGCAGCCCTGGCTCACAGGCCCAACCGCTCCGGGGCACGTGGGATCTTCTCGGACCAGGGCCCGAACCCATTGTCTCCTGCATCGGCAGGCGGACTCCCAACCACTGCGCCACCAGGAAAGCCCAGGGACACCACTTTATAGTGAAGGGAGGTTCAATGACCTGGTAATCAAGACTCCACACAGCTCTTTTCCTGGTGGTTATGCATACTTAGCTGAGTTTCAGATGAAGAGGGGGCTCATTGCACATAGAATCAGAACAAAATGGCATGTTCTTATTTTTTTACCAAAACATATTAGCATGATGAAGGTACTTTAGTTGTTCGTACACTTTCAATGATTTCTTACAATTCCTATGCCCAAAGTCACACTGATGGATGGCAGGTCTAAAGCGATTTTCTGTGGTTGCTAATTCATCCATCACTAATCTTATTAGGCTGTTAATTCCCAGAGGACATGACCAGTAGTAGACATAGTTTCCAAATGTTGAATGAATTTTATTCAATGAAACCATGGGGTTATCCTTAGTCTAAAAGAAGATACCTCATTTTTCATTCATCACTGAACTTAATTTGTATAACCCCTTTTGACTATCACATCTAAGACTGACATCTTTAGTACGTATTTTCATCTAGATGTAGTAGTAAAGGGGGCTTCAGAGTAGAATACATATGGCCGGCTTTAGAGGGGATAAGAGGTGAGCTTATCAGCAAAAAGTGGCGTAATAATTTATTTGTTCTAGTAATTTTCCTCTATTTCTGCTAAAATTTTGCTGTTTCAAATCTATAGTTCATCTTAAAAGTCAAAAGTGTATCTTGTTGAAGCCAGTTGCTTTATTTCCATCTGTATCTTTGGGTTCCCAGTTAGAGAGTGTCCTGTACCATGACATGTGTTAGATATTGTTACTGGAAGTAACCTAGAATTTTCATGTGCTGAAATTCATCTCTTTATTGCAGCATGCAAAAATAAATAAATAAATGCTTGTTTTCTTTGAAAACAGATCATCCAAACGTCCCTAGCTGCCAAGTCTATTTGGGGGTTATTTGCAGGCTTAGGGGGTCTCCTTTCTTCCCTCATTATCCCTATCCTTGAGGGCCAGACCCCCTGCCTTGCACAACCCAGAGGGAAACCTGAGAGCTTTTAAAAAACAGCCCAATTTCTCGCCTTTGGAGAAGTGAGAAGAGTGCCCCGCCCCCATCTATGAAAAGAGGGATTTGATAGAGTTTCAATGTCTTCAAATCAAAGATTTAAGTCTCTAACCCCCCATCATCCAGGACCCCCCCAAGGCTTACGAACCCCCTCCCATCCCGCCCTAACTGCTTTGAACTGGCCCCAGAATCCTGGTCCCAGTCCACAGTTCCTGTGGGTCTGTACGCAGAATTCACAGAGGACCTGTGTTACTTCCCTTGCGAAGAAACAGAATTATGGTGAAAATTTAGGTGGAAACCATTTCATTTTTGGCTCCAAAAGAAGGGAAGCATGTGCCCAACCACCCCTGAGAAAAAGAACTTTCAGGGGCAAAGGAGCGAACAGGTAATTTAGAAGAAAAACAGAAAGTGGTCTCCAACTGCCCAGGACTTCCCTAGGAGTTGGGGGAGTTGGGGACGACTGGACGAGTAGTCCTTGTGGTTGCGGAAAAAATAAATGGAGAGCACGAAGCCTGAGGCTTCTCGGATCCTTTCCCGACCAAATTCGGGTGATTTGGTGCTGCGTATTTTAATATTTTCCCCCTTTTGTGAAGTGGAACAAACACAACTTGGGCGCACCGCGGCGGCTCAGAGCCTGCCAGCCAGGCGGGCGACCGGAGCACCAATCAGCGCGCGCCTGCGCTCTATATATACGGCGGCCCGGCCCAAGCGTAGTTCCATCGGCGACTTGCCACTTGTACCCGAGTCCGAGATCTTCAGCACTCAGCATGTCGGAGACCGCTCCTGCCGCTCCCGCCGCCGCGCCTCCTGCGGAGAAGACCCCGGTTAAGAAAAAGGCGCCCAAAAAGCCGGCCGGGGCGCGCCGGAAGGCGTCTGGGCCGCCGGTGTCCGAGCTCATCACGAAGGCTGTCGCCGCTTCCAAAGAGCGGAGCGGTGTGTCTTTGGCTGCGCTCAAGAAGGCGCTGGCAGCCGCGGGCTACGATGTGGAGAAGAATAATAGCCGCATCAAACTGGGTCTTAGGAGCCTGGTGAGTAAGGGCACTCTGGTGCAGACCAAGGGCACCGGTGCTTCCGGCTCTTTTAAGCTCAACAGGAAAGGGGCCACTGGGGAAGCCAAGCCCAAGGCTAAGAAGGCAGGTGTGGCCAAGCCCAAGAAGGCCGCTGGGGCAGCTAAGAAGCCCAAGAAGGCCACGGGTGCGTCCACCCCGAAAAAAACCGCCAAGAAGACCCCGAAAAAGGCGAAGAAGCCAGCCGCAGCTACTGTGACCAAGAAAGTTGCCAAGAGTCCAAGGAAAGCTAAAGCTGCTAAACCCAAGAAGGCCGCCAAGAGCGCAGCTAAGGCAGTGAAGACCAAAGCCGCCAAGCCTAAGGTTGCCAAGCCCAAGAAGGCTGCACCGAAAAAGAAGTAGGTTGTTAATCGTCTGCTTCTAAAACCCAAAAAGGCTCTTTTCAGAGCCACCACTGATCTCAGAAAAAAGACCTGTATCCTCCTTCCGTACTTGCTGTTTCTGTATACCTATATCACCTTTCGCCTTCTAATCTAAATCAAGGTTGCTCAGGAGTCGTTGCAGAAGGTTGCTCACGCTACCCTAAGATGGGCAGCGAGGGCTTGGCAGGGTGACTGCTGTGAGGTTGCAGGGCATTAGTCCCATCCCTGTGGGTTGCTCCTTGCTCTGCGGTGCTTTTGGTTAGTCTCCTGGTCAGCTATTTCAAGCGCTGTCCGGAGACTTGCGTACTTGGGCTATCCGCCTGCCCCGCTCCACTCCTGTGAACAGCAAATACAACCACAAAGAAATCCAGCCAGTTTCTTAGTCTTAACGGGATATTCCGATTGGGCTAAGAACTCATTCAAAAGTCCCGCCCTGCTCGCGGGTTGGCTCACTTCTCCAGCCCGTAATTTTCATCCTGTATTTAATTGGGTGGTGGCCGGCCTCCATCCTTAGTCTCCAATGTTTGTTTTCCTTCCGTTGGGTTAGCACTATTCGCCTGATACAGAAATGTATCTGGTATTTCGGACATTTTCCATGTTTCGAAAGTCAAGTTGCTGGCTCTCGGGGGCGTTGGTATCATCCGATCCTGGGAGGAGGGTGGGTGCAGGCGCTCTTGCCTCGCATTCTTTTGTTAATTCCTGTGGGCTGTGGCAGCAAAGGAACATTTGAAAAACTGCTACAGCGGTGGCAATGACTCTTCCACCCAGGGCAAGCCTGGACCAGGGATCTTTCTGTTCCTCGCATCGTGTAACTTTCAACAAATGTGTGATGGATTTGAGCGCATGAAAAACAACTTTTAGTCGGCCATTTTGTCCTGGCCGGCCAGTCAAGGATCCTCATTTTAGGTGCACTTTAACATCAAAAAATAGAAGATGCTTTAAACGCATTTTTGTAACATTTGTAACATCCAACATTTTCTACGCGAAGGAGAAAAAATATATTGGTAAAGTTTTGGAAATTGTGTATTGGGGGGGAGGTGATGTCTCTGATAAAGGGCTTTAGTTTTCATTAACAGTATTGTATGTGGATTCTTTCATATTCATGGCATTCCTCTTGGGTAGAGAAAGTCCAGCGTCCTATTTCTATTCCGATGGGCAGAGAATTTCTCAAGACAATTTCCCGGGTCAGGGGCTTCTGCAGACCTGCAGCTCAGTTCTTCAACCAATGCCACAAGGACGAATCTGTGAGTTGAGTTATTTCCTGCATTAGTGGTAGTGGCCATGGAGTTCATTCCTCGTCTTAGTCACTGTGTAGGAGAAACCAAGAGATCTAGTGGATAAAAAGAGTAGAATGGAGCCAAAATGCGTAAAAAAGCAGAGATGAGAGGTGTACAGAGAGTGCTGCAAGATCTGGGTTCCTGACACCTCCTGAGTTCCTGGTTCTTTGAGCCACCTGAACTCCTGCCACCGGGGCCTCTCCACTTAGCTCAGGTTGGGTCAAGTTGCAACAACCAGGAGACCTAAGAAAGACACCCCAAATATAAGCACAGATAGGGCTTATAGTAATAGCACCATGTACTTCTATGTTCCCTTTCTCCTTCAAATAATTTCAGTTCCACCCCATTTGCTTGATTTTCACATCAGCTCTAAGAGGCAGGGAAGGAATCAACCTAAGCAAAGAGAGTTGATTCTCTAATTTTTCTTCAAACCTCTTGTGAATGCCCTTTGGGGTGTAAATTTATTGGGTTTATATGAAGTTGATCCTATCATTGAATGTTTCCTGCAAATGTATTTGCATAGTTGAAACATGTCCTTTAATTTCAAGTAAAACATATTCCTCAAAAACAAATATATAAAAATATATATATATAACCATTCTTTAGTAAGGCTTCAGGAAGAGTTCATTCACAGAGAGCTAAGTTATTGTTTAAAATCTTTAATTTTACCTAGTCTTTAGATAGTCTTCAACAATGTTTCCTCAATATTGTCCGTGTTCTTTAATTTTGTTCCATTCCCTCATAACTGTTCACATACTTTACGGGCTTGGGTCTAATAAGACATTCATTCAATTTTAAAAATTAGCTAGTTTAACGAAAAGGTCTTTGTCACGATTTTGTGTAGTTTATAAAACCTCTATTTTATTTTGACATTATTAATATTATTTTCAGTATTCGTTTATTATTATAAAATAATATTGACAACAGCAATAATATACTCAAATAATTGGCCAAACATGGCTGGATTAGCCAAAAATGGCAATGAATACTGCATAAACTAAACTGCTGACTGATAATGATGAAAATTCATGACATGTTCGTGTACGTTGGAAGTGTACACAGAAATTAGAGGCTCCTTGTAATGCATTATTGTAAAAAATTTTGTTTCTGTACATACACAGTGCTCTCATGGCTGAAAAATTAAATATCCCATTACTTCCCCTAGGCAGTGCTCTAGATATCATTTCTTCTAAGCCTGAGGGAGATGTAAAAGGTAACTTTGTGGTTGAAATCCATGCCAGAGAGGAACAGGTCCAGTTCAAGACGTGATTACATCATTAGAGAATTTCAGAAGGGAACAGGGATTTAGGGCACAGTGGTAACAGCAATAGTGTTGACTAATTTACAAGGGTGCCAAGCACTATTGCTGAACACTCTTCATTTATTTTCAAACACATTCTTGTCACAGCACCTTGAGGTAGGTGCCATTATTACTGAGGCTTGGTCACATTAAGGACATAATGAGTTAATATCTGATCAGTGAGCCAGTGTAATTATCCTCCGTGTATGAGTGCTGTTCCACATAAGTGAGCCACATAAGTAATCAAAAATTTTCTAGTAGCCACATTTTAGAAAAGTAAAGCAAGTAAAATCTATTTTAATAATATTTTAACCCACTAAAATAAAAATATTTCAACAAGTCATCTAAGGTAAAAATATTAAGGAGATTTTAAATTCTATTTTTCATACTAACTCTTTGAAATTTGGTATGTATTTTTACACTTAAGCTCATCTCAATTTGGACTAGTCATGTTTCAAGCGCTCAATAGCCGCATATGGCTATTGGCTACCGTCTTGAACAATAAAGATCTATAGTAAACGCTGAAAGGAACACACAAGAGAATACTTGCTCTGGAGTAGAATCTAGATGTTTCCAAGGAAATAATTATGCTGACCTGATCCTACAATTATGCTGACTCTATCTCAGAGTCCTGAGTCATCCGAGACCAGTGTTTCTCAACAGGGCGCTTGCTGAGGTGTGGTATAACAGAGTGGTAGGAGGGCAAGGAAGGCCACGTGTAATTTGGAAAAGCATAGGCTGTGCTGAGAAGCAGATTTACCCTGAAGTTAATGAAACTCAAGTGTCAGACCCTGTACTTCCAAGGTCCTGGGAGGGGCCCCTGGGAGTATAGTATGTTCACTTGCCCTCATTTAAAAAATACTTTTTTTTAAAATTGCAATGTTGACAGATTTTAATCACAGCTGGTAAAAACCATTTATTTCCATTCAATCTTCTCTTCTGTTACAATTCACCTTTTGTCTGATTATGCTGGGATGTTGATGAGAATATTTGGGACTTGAGAAAATTTACTTGCATTTATATTTTGTTTGGGGTTAATGACATATATAAAGTGATGTGCAGATGTGCTCATATATATTGATAGTTCAGTTGTTACTAGCCAGTCTGATCTAAGAATGGCTTCAAGGAATACTCCTACTGCCCACTGATAAACTCACCTGGATTAACGGCAAGAAAATATGGGACTAGATGTCATATATCCATGTACCCAGCACTGGGAGTGAATGCATAGGGGAGAATTGAGATTTGAAATGTATAGAGCCAGAAGCTAGTCTGTGAAGAATTCTTCCAAATTTTACAATTCACATATGAAAGAAGCTTCACAGGATTTTCCAAATTTGAAAACAATCCTAAAAACTTGACATCACCTACAGTTCTTTGAAGCTGAAATTCTTCTAAGTTATCAAGGGAATAAAACAAATTGTGATCAACCATCCTAGAGGGAATACTGAATTCTCTTCCCATTGTCTACACTCTATAGAAAATATTACTAAACAATTTTCCTTTAAAGAGGGAATCAGAGTATGCTGTCAAAAATAGGAAAATATAGGGCTTCCCTGGTGGCGCAGTGCTTGAGAGTCCGCCTGCCGTTGCAGGAGACGCGGGTTCGTGCCCCGTTTCGGGAGGATCCCACATGCCGCGGAGCGGCTGGGCCCGTGAGCCGTGGCCGCTGGGCCTGCGCGTCCGGAGCCTGTGCTCCGCAAATGGGAGAGGCCACAACAGTGAGAGGCCCGCATAACG